GTGCACATTACAGTCTTCTCAAGGGCAAAAAAACATTTGGGTGTGGGCTCCTCCAAACGACCTGTTCATTGAGCGTTCATCCTTGCACAAAGCTTTTATGGAGGTTAGGGCATGTCTGGTCTTTATTGAGCATTTGTTCTGATTTGTTTTGGGGAGGCTATACGGCAGTGAGCATTCATCCTGCTTTGCTTGTGTCTTCCCGTTAATCATTTGTCCGTTCCACACTTTTCAGTGCATTTCCCCATCACTTTCCTAACCACTAAAAGCCAATTTTTTAAAGAATTTTGCACTAGGGCAACAAAGCACATTAATCTGCTCCAACTGCCATAACTTACATTTTCAGAGTGTGTGTTTGAATCCTTCTCTCAAAATACTAACAAGCTAGAGGCAACCTCAGGCAGTATGTTATCAGCTAACAATGAAAGATCACCCTTTTCTGAGGATTTATTCTTAGCACTAGCATGCAAGCACCAGGAGGTTTCTTGTACACATTCAAATTTTCTCACACCACAGAAACATTTGTGCTGCAGATTTGAACCAGAGTAATAAGTAATTATGAGGTATATTCTTTAACATGCTGAAATGTAATGCAAATGCCCATTAGTTATGTGCCATATTGCATGGTCTATATCATTAAAAGATGGTATGGTGATGATGATTATTTTGCTGTTGTTGTTTTGTCGGAACATAGCCTCTGTCATTAATATAATTATTGTGAAATTCCTGCTTGGGGGGGCGGGGAGAATTCTGGAGAAAGATTAAAGTGGAAGGATATTTCAGAATGTACAAATGCTTAGCTGATCGGATTTCCCACTTTGCCCTTCTTTTTCTAACTAGGTAACAAAACTCCTGGATTTGAATTGTGCAGCTGCATTTGCTCCCTAATTATCTGTTTCTTTCTCTCTCTCTCCCTCCCTCCCTCCCATTTGACTCTCCTAAACAACCAGGAAGTCCTCAAGCTTCCCTGATTCAAGGATGCCTTCCCTCTATGCGACTTGGACATTATCCACTTCCTCACTTTCCTCCCAGGGAAGCATCTCAGAGAACGGCCCAAGGCAAAGCAGACCTATGAAATCTGCCTTCATGCCCGCATCTTTGGCCTCACCTGTGAGGAATGTCTCTGTGCCAAGCACCTCAGGCACACAACTCCGCAGAGGAGAGGACGTGGCAGCAGTAGGAAGAGTAAGTCCTGGTGAGAGAGAGACATATGAACCTGTTCCCAAGTGGCTGAGAGATGACTAGAAGCCTTTAATTAGCTCATTGAAACTCGGGTGATGCAATAAGCAGAAATG